ATGATAAAATTTCAAGGAGATATAATTATCTAGGGACATAACAAGTCTTGTTTATATCTTTTCAAATAATTTGATCATGACATCGGTCTTCAAACTTATTTCATTTTGAAAAGGAATATTCTCAGATAAATTATGGACATACAAAAATGGATATATATTAATATGAAGCAATACATTGAGAATTCGCATTCTCTATGTGATATATCTACTCTTTTTCAGTTTATTCAATAGAAAACAACTACTTTCCTGGCTATATGCCACGACGAACATTGAATTATATCTATTGAACACACACGATAAGAGTTTGAAAATAAAATATAAAAAAAAACTTCTGAAATTGAGAATTTGCATTCTCCTTCAGACAAAAATATGTATATGCACACATCATTCTGAATATTCAACAGAAAACAACTACTTTCCTGGCTATTTGCCACGTCGAACATTGAATTATATCTGATGAACATTCAAAAGGAGAACATGAATAATAAAAAATAAAATCCTCCGAAATTGAGAATTGACATTCTTCTTCAAATCGGATGAATAATATGTGGTTGGAGCGCACGGAACGGAATTCCTATAATGTTCTTGTTCTTTGCTGTTCTATAGACAACCGAGCTTTATTAAAGTGTTCGTCTGACTGGCATTACAAGTGATGATTTTATTACAATTACTCTTTTGTTAATAAATTCCTATACCTATCTCTATCGGTTTTCGAGATAAAAAATAATTTGTGTTAAATATGATCCAAAACATATCCCTAATTGTACTTATGTAAATCAGGGCTCTCGAATCATATAGAGTCGATATTTCAGTGGTATTTTGGACAGGCATGATGTATTCAATTTACACCGAGAAGTCGCCTCAATATCATACAGGGCGTGCTGAAATTATTATTATATCCGTTGTAGATACAAGTGGTCAAAAGTTAATTTTTTCAAATGGAACTCACTATTTTTTACTCAATAAATTGAAAGACGAATAAAAATGCTACAAGATGACATAGCATGCCCCTATACCTAATTCATCAAGTTTTCTTAATAAAGCCGCTTTTTGTGGAAAATATAATTTTATGAAAAAGTTAATTTTAGGTAGCCCTGGAAATATCAAACTCATGACAGTTCGGTGACATTAATGAGTAATTCAGTAATTGTTATTGACAGTGTTTCAATAAATCTACCAGAATGAACGCAAATATCGATTATTCAAACGAAGTTCTTATGAAGTTATTTATTATACACGCGGACAATGTGATCAAATCATTGCCAGAACTTGCAGAACATTCAACCAAAAGTATCCTGAATTGACACCAATGAACGGGAGGAAGTTTGTGAGATTACAAAATAATTTCATCAACTTTGGCTCAAAGTTAAAAGCGCCTCCAACATTACCAAAACCTGTTACTTCGAATGAAGACAATATTGTTGACGTTTTGGCATATTTTCAAGTATATCCAGGAGCATCCATTCTTAGTGCAGAAAAAGATTTGGGTGTAAAATGCTTCAGTACAAAGAATTTTGGGAAATCACAAAATGCATCCGTATAAATTCAATAAAGTTCAAGCTCTCAATGCAGAAGACTTCGAGCGGAGAGTGCATTTTTGCGAAGCCCTTTTTATGCATACCCAGGAGGATCCGGAATTTTTGTCGAAAATAATTTGGAGCGACGAATCAAAATTCACGAGGGATGGGATTTTCAATAGAAGAAATAAGCATTTTTGGAATGATCATAATCCCCATTTAACAAAAGAAATGGGTTTTCAAGTAAAATGTTTTCTGTATTTTAAAATATAATAAAATCGCTTTTTCATTTACGATGGCACACTGAATGCTGAGAGATATATTCAAATATTGAGGACGACTGTGAGAGATTTCCTCGAAAATTTGCCGTTAGAGGAATGTCCAAACCACCACTAATATATCAACTCTTTATATGATTCGAGAGCCCTGATTTACATAAGTTCAATCAGGGATATGTTTTGGATCATATTTAACACAAATTATTTTTCATCTCGAAAACCGATAGAGATAGGTATAGGGTTTTATCAACCAAAGAGTATTTTAATAAAAAGGCAATTCTAAAAATTTGTTCCATTTAAAAAAATGAAGTTGCTAGGACTTTTTGATAGAAACGGCAACGTCGCAATTTCGAAAATATTTTAGATAGATAGAACAGGTGATGAAATGTAAGATGCGAAATTTTCAGAAAAATCCTGCGATGCGTTTTCCATAAACGTCTAACGTACCATCGACCGTGAGTTACCCTGTATATGAAGAAATACATTGAGAATTCGCATTCTCCATGTGATGAAAATATCAATTCTTTCATTGATATAAGAAATTATAACAGATTTTCTTCAACGACATTCCTCCACCTTGCCTTGTTTGTGAAGGTTATTTTCTCAATCTTGAAAGATATTATTTTTGCCTTGAATCCTGTGATGGCCTTGATCTCAGAATTGCGTATCAAACATATTTATCGTTCCCTAAGAACCTTCCAGTAATCGAATTTCTACACGTGTACGCTTGGTCTTACTTTTTCTTTCATCGGAAAATTTCAATGCCAGCAATAACTCGTGTCAACTTCACAGGGTAGATCTAAGGTTTTCGTAGGTTTCAAAGTAATTGTGAGACATACAGAGCACAAAAATGACATCAAAATCGTTGGTATTCCAGATACAGGGTGATTTTTAAAAGTTGTCTGATGATATGGTCTTGACATATAAATACTGGCACAAAATATATAGAACAACCTTGTAGGTAATCCAAGATATGGAAAGATATGAAAACTGGCACATACATAACAAACTGAAACTGAATATGAAGAAAACATTACATAAATTTATTATTTTCCAACAAAAAAATGTGAGCATTGGTGGCGTTGAAATAAAAATATTTGAAGAACTGGTTAGAAAGGTTAACAATCTCAAATATTTAGGTCTCATATTGGATGAAAATTTGAGCTCGAAGCACCACATAGATCACATAACTAAAAAAATGTTACCCATGGTTCGAGCACTGTTTGAATGCAGGGAATATCTGAGCACTGAAGTGAAATACATGATCTACAACTCATACTTTCTGTCGATCTTCAGGTATCTGATAGTCATATGGGGGACATGTAATAAAACGACATTTCAAGAAATGCAAAGATTGCAAAACAAGGTTATTAAAATATTATTCTCTATCAACTACTTAACACCAACGAATACTGTATACGAAACAACAAAATCAAACAAACTGAATGAAATCTTAAGTTTAGAGCAATGTGAACACACATACAAAATAGTGAATAACATAAGAAATCAAAATAACATATACCTTCCAAATATTCGAACAAATGTTGCACTAAACATCAATATACAGTATTATGCAAATGTATGGAATAAATTCATTATTTCAGAAATGGGCGACATTTGAAAAGATTTCAAAAACACGTGAGTTTTAATTTCTGAAGCCTCATCTCATGATATTCATATGAGAGATGTTACGTCACCGGTGTTGGAGTAAAGACGTAATGGACGATTTTTTCAAATACATATAGGGGTCATGTGACACCTTGATTGAAAGGTCTACCGATCGTCTATTCAACAGTCAAAATGTTGCATAAGAAGATTGAAATTAAAATGGATTATCATGTGATTAATTGAATCTTGCAGAGGTCTTCTACTGGGAATTGAACATCGAAGGGTCGTCTAGTTGGAAAAATACGTCGAAAAAAAGTTCTAAACTCTAGTTTTTGTTTTTTTTTCGAAAGTCGTCTTGTTTTGAAATGAATTTATTCCATACATTTGCATTATACTGTATATACATCAATACATCAATACCACATCAAGCATTTAAGGAAATACCAAATGAAAAGTTATTTGTTAAGGAAATTAGAAAGTACCTGAAAAATTCAACTGTATAAATGTCAATATTGATTTTATGAATTACTATATATGATATATCCATTTTACATATAGGGCATAATTGATGTTTTACTTATTAGTTATATTCCCCGTTACCAGTTGAATTGGAACTATATGCAATGTAGATATTATAAAAGTTGGAAAAAATGTGAAAGTATTGTATGTATTTATATCACATTGTAATCAAATCCTGATTGAAGATAAATTGCATAAAAAATATATCTCAATTAGAACTAGAAAAATGAATAGAAAACAGGGGAATATATTGTTTTTTCTGTGACGGGAAAAAAGTTTGGCATTTCATCTCTGTTGGCAGGTTATAAAATATCACTTTTCATAAATTACTTTTTTCCCAAGGGAAAAAGTGAATACTTTTTTCCCGGATATATATCATATATATATACACTGTTGATGGCTTTTGTTGTGCTATAGTTCCGAAAAATGAGTCAATAATACCGTCTCCGAGAAAGAACTGCAAGTCCTTCTATCTTCCATTCGACTTCGCGGTTACGTATATTACTATATCAAATCACAGAAACAGACTGACAGAAGTGACATCAGATTTTTGATTTCTTCAAAAGAATGATAAAGATGCCTACAACGCAGGTGTCCCTACTGTTAAAAACTCAGAATTTCACGTCGATAATTTTCAGATTTCAAAATAATGTAATATCTCCTCAATATTGATTCGTCCTTTCTTCTGTCACAGAAAAAAATAGTGTATAATACACGGGAAAAATATTAGATTTTAGCTCACGGTTTTTTGTCTGTATTACAACACAACTTGGAGCTAAATTTTACAACGTTTTTCCCTTGTATAATAAATAACTATTTCAACACGTTTTTTACCAAGGACATTCGACCATCCCAGACCAAATATCGCGAATTCTGTTGTGACGTAGGACAGAGTTTAACATACACGAATGGCGTATTCCTGAGACTATTTAAAAAACAGTTTAAATAAACTTGTTTCTTTCAAGAAGAAACGAAAACGAAGGAACTGCCATTTACAGAAGTGAAGTACAAAAAAAGAACAACAAGAAATCACTCAAAAACGCAAAATCTGAGAATAAATAATGAGTCTTCACGTCAGCCAGAGAAGAAAGATAAGGAGAAGAGTATATCGATTGTAGGGACATGTTCAATTGATAACGACAAAGATTTCAGCGGCGGGGAACCCATGCTGTGGTTATACGTCGGCCACTGTAAGCCCCAAACAACAGCCGATAAGGTTAAATCGTATCTAGAGAAGAAATCCGCAGGACATAACTTCGAGGTTACGGAACTAAACTCGGTAGGACGTTTCAAGTCCTTCAAGGTAGGAGCAGATATGAATTTGAAAGATGTGCTTTATCAACCTTCGCATTGGCCAGCGAAGGTAATGGTTAAGAGATTCAATTTTCGGAAGCCCTTTCGGAGCTCCAATGAGTTTTGAAGATAACAGTCAACCAAACAATCGTGAATGGAAAATTTTTAATATATTACATATCAACGTTCAATCATTGGCTAATAAAATTGACCAGTTAGAATTATTGGTGGAAACCGGTAAAATTGACGTATTGTGCCTGTCCGAAACCTGGTGCTCTGATAATAACATAAACACTATGACTTTAAATGACTTCAATATTGCAACATATTATAACCGACAATTTCACCAACATGGTGGCGTAATCATATATATAAAAAAAGGTATATCATTCAAGAAAATTAATTTGGAAAATCACTGTGAGGAAATGGAAATAGAAATATGTGCTATTTGTCTTGATGTGTCAAATATGAAATACTGTTTAATAAGTATTTATCGCCCTCCTAATGGAAAAATAGATACTTTCATATACAGCTTGTCTAGTATATTGAAGGAATGCTCCAAATCATATAAGAACATAATCATCTGTGGAGATTTTAACATTGATAATTTAAATAAAAAACGGAATCCACAAAGAGAGAAAGAAGTTGAACTCTTCATTGATCTATTAGATAGTTATCAGCTCAAATTTAAAAACTACTTGCCAACTAGAGAATTTACCAATAGTAGTGGTATAACTAGTCAATCTCAAATCGATTACTTTGCAACAAATATAGATTACTCATTATTTGAGGAAAAAATTGAGCCTTTCAATATAAGCGACCATCATGGATTATTATTCACTATGAAGATCGATATTCCATCGATTGTTTCAGAATCGAAATCAAAAATCAATATCAAAAAACGCAACTACAGTGAAGATAACATCTTTCAGCTGAGACAGTCTCAATCCATCGAGAACTATCAATCTGTATATGAATGTACATCAGATGTTAATCAGGCATATGAGAATTTCTTTCATACTATTGCCCACAGCCTCGATATGACCTGTCCTTTAAAAGACATAAAATTCAGTAAAACTCCAAAATCTGAAAACAAAACATGGATTTCTGAAGAGCTTAAAATCGAAAGCAGACAATTGAAAGACTTTTACTGGCTCACTAAAAACTCAACTGATCAGTTTTTGATAAGCGAATACAGGGTGAAAATTAAAAATCATAAGAAAAATATAAAAAACACAAAACGAGCTTATTATCACAGTAGAATAAATAACTCAAGGAATACTCAGGATAAACAGAAACAGATATGGAAAATCATTAACGAAAGGACGGGGAAAACTCCATGCAAACATTACCCAAAACAAATTATAGTTGAAAACAGAACAATAGATGACCCAAAATCAATCTCTAACAGTTTCGCAAAATATTTTTCACATACAGTATCGGAAAACATCAAAGAACATTTTGGAAATGATGCTGGAACGGGTACCACTGGTAATCATACTATGAATACATTTTATTTTTTTCCTGTTAATGCTGAAGAGGTTTTCATTTTCATCAATCAATTAAATAATACAACCTCAGTAGGAATGGACTGTCTGTCCACAAAGATTGTTAAATCAATAGCAGATTTTATTTCTGAACCAATTGTCTATATTATCAATTTGTCAATTGAGAAGCAAGTTTTTCCAGATATGCTAAAGATAGGAAAGATAATTCCAATCTATAAAAACAGTGATCAATGCTCAATAAATAATTACCGGCCTATAACTATTCCTTGTGTGATAAGTAAAATAATTGAAAAATGTATATATAATAAATTATTTCCTTTTTTATCAAAATTTAAAATAATAACCGACTGTCAAAATGGTTTTCATCCAGGCAGATCGACGGAGGGAGCAGCTACTGACTTTATGGAATATGTGTATAGTTGCATAGACCATGGTAAGTATGTAGCGGCACTCTTTTTCGATCTGTCTAAAGCTTTTGACTCGATCGATTTCGACATTGTCTACGACAAATTATATGCTGTTGGCATAAGAGGCAATATACTGTCGTGGATAATATCTTATCTCAAATTCAGGAAAATATTCGTTAACTTACCAGAAGCAAATTCAGATATGCACAGTGTTGACCTCGGAGTTCCACAAGGCTCGGTTTTAGGTCCACTAATTTTTCTGTTATTTATTAATGACTTACCTTTTCACGTGAAAACAGAATGCATGGTTCTCTTTGCGGATGATACATCTATTGCAGAAGAAGCCGACAGCATTTTAGAACTTCAAGCTAAACTGAATATCGTCGCCAGTGAATTTACATCTTGGTGCGAAAATAATAAATTATTAGTAAATTCAGGAAAAACCGTTCTCATTAAATTTTTTGGCAAGAAAAGCGTTGAAAGACCCCTAGATGTTATCGTGAATAATGCAATCATAACCCCTTCAGACGGAACTAAATTTCTTGGAACATACATAGACTCAGGATTAACATGGGAAGATCACATTAGTTATGTATGCAAAAGACTAAACAGCAGTTTTTACGCAATATTACAACTGAAAAGTGTCTTAGACGAAAAATCGCTGATAAACGTATATTACGCGATGGTGCACTCGGTACTTAAGTATAATATAGTACTATGGGATGCCAGTAATAATATAAATAGGGTATTTGTTGCTCAAAAAAGAATAATTCGGTTGATATTCAATTTGGAAAGAACAGATTCTTGTAAACCCTACTTCAAAAATAACAAAATACTCACTTTACCATGCATATACAAATACATCCACAGCTTGATTACCTATATAAAAAAAAAGAAGGTTCAATTACAACCAATGGTGAATAACACAGATATCCTACGAGAAATGGAAACCTACTGAAAATGATCAAACACAAAACCAAACTTTTCGAAAAGTCACCCATCTATATAGGGTCAAAGTATTTCAATTGTCTGCCCATCGAAATCAAGTCGCTGCCAAATGTGAATAAACTGAAACAGAAAACGAAAGAATTTCTCAGCAGTCAAGGTTTCTACTCGTGTGATGATTTTATCAATTTCAATCGATGTACACAACCCTCAGATACATAATGTGATTCAATATATTCTCAGTTTTTTATATATATATATATTTACTTTTTAAAATTTTGTTTAGTAATTTGAATGTCTGTACTCATCTGTTATACATACTTTGATGTGAAATATTCATGAATGTCTATATTTACCACTATATATGTAATCATTTTTGTTTTAAACTGACTTTTCCTATATCATTTTATAATGGTCTCTTGGATGAATAAATTATTCTTATTCTATTCTATTCTAATGCATCATTTCGGAGATATAGGGTGTTGAAATGGATTTTTTGTTGTATTTTTTATTAATTAGTTTTACAAAAAATATGTTTTTTGCACGAAATTTGGTACCCGAGGTAGATTTGAGGTGGGAAATCATAATTTCGTATGTGGCGCCTAGAGGGCGTCGTGTTTTTGTTATGTTCTGCAGGTCTCCAAAGTGACCACGAAGAGGTGCGAAGCCTCAACTTGACGGGTCAATCTCACGGAGACTGCCAAGGGAGGAACAATTGTTGATATTTCAGAAGAGCATCGTCCATGAAAATATCTATAAAATAGAGCCAGATCGTCAAATTTTCTACGGTGTTCGAGAGAAGTGAGTGAGTTTGTGAGCGAGTCATCACCCACGAGACGAATTGCCCTTTTTTGGACAGAATCCAACAGTTTCAGGGTATGTTTGGGTGCTGCACTCCGAATATGGGAACAGTTTTCCAGGACAGGTCGGGTCTGTGCCTTATATACCATAAGCAGCTGACTGGAAGTGAAATAGCTCCTGGCCCGAAACAAAAAAACAAGTTTTTGGGATGCACTTTTAGCAATTGATCTCACGTGATTTTCCTAAGAAAGGTTATTGCTGATAGTAATACCCAGCATCGAAATGGATGTCTTCAAAGGTATGGTTACTCCTGACAAACTTATGTTGGGCACAGTGAGATCGGCTTTTCTAGAGGAAAGGCATGCTTGTGTATTGTTAGCATTGAAATCTACCAAGTTATTAGATCCCCATTCGAGAATTGTTGCCAAGTTCATATTTATGTTGTCAACATTTCTCCCTCGTTCGTTTCTGATTTGCCTGGCTGGTATTGGAGCACTGGAAGAGAAGGCGGTATGGAGGAGGAATTGCACTTTCTCTCTTCCAGTCTTACCTTCATAATCGAACGCATTACGTTTGCCTTAACAGCAACGAAGCATCTGGATTTGAGGTGATGAAATCTGGAGTACCCCAAGGCTCTGTTCTGGGGCCTCTCTTTTTCATCATTTACATCAATGATTTTTTCTATCATATGTTACCAAACAAATGTGTAGTTTATGCAGATGATAGTACGCTAATATGCTCTGACAAAAACTGTCAAAACCTAATTACATCCATGAAATATGTAGAAAACCAGGCAGAAAAATGGTTCACTGGAAATCTCTTGAAACTTAACAGAGACAAAACTCAGAATTTGATCTTCTCATCCAACAGTAAAATTAAAAAAGGTGATAAAGTAAATCTACTAGGAATCACAATAGATGATAACCTGAACTGGCGCAATCATATTGATGACTTATGTGTTCCAAACTTTCAAAGCATATATTTCTGCTTCGACAGTTGAGATCTATAGAAAGTTTTAAGTTTTTCAGGAATATTGCCCCTTCCTACCTTATATTTACCATTGCCTTCTTGAAATCCATGAAAATAAAAATGAATTCGATAGAAATGCTCATTTCCATGATTACAGCACTCGCAATGCTGAACTCATCAGATCCTCAAGATATAGACTACATAAATCTGCATCTAACTCTCCGAACACGAAATTGTATAATATCTTACCACAAACAGTGAAAAATCTTACAGGTCAAAAATTCAAACGATACATTAAAAATCAACTTTTAGCCAAATGTTACTATAATGATATTGAGTATATAACTAGCCCACCTGCTGCAATTGATCTTAATGTAAAATGAACCGTATTCTTTGTGTCTTGGCCCTATTTTACATCTATATGTTATTGTATTTTATATCTATATATTAGTGTTTTGATGTCTTTTTTTATAACAATTCATTTACAAATTATTTTTTTTATTAGATTCATACATTATTGTATTGTATTGATGTATTGACTTGCTACAAATGTATGTATTTGCATAACGTAGTCAAATAAATGCTATCTATCTATCTATCTATCTACTATCATTCGCGTAGCTGTGAACTGGACATGAAGCTGCTTCCAACAAATCGTTGATATGGAGCAAAAATAGTGTTGGTGCTAGAATCGATCCTTGCGGAACACCAGCATTTATGATAAGAGAGTCAGATGAAACTAAGTCGACCACTACATGGAGAGACCTGTTTGAGAGAAGAACTGTCATTATTTATTTTAAACTGCCCTAACTTTCTAGACAGTAACCGCTTTTCATGATAAAACCTTATTCCCACACCATTTGCAAGAAAAAAAGGTACACTTCCTCTACTAAGCTATGGCTGATCGTTTTCGAGATATTTACAATTTTCTATATCGATGCACGTTACTTAGCTCCAATAGGGCGCTAAATAAAGTTGCTAAGCACACATTACTAAAGCCTATGACGAAAACCAACCATGTTTTGAAAAAATTTCAATAATCTGTATCTCGATAACGAGGCATGCACTAGAAAGTGTAATAAGTAGTAACTTTCTGCACATTCGTAGAAACAGTTGATTACCGGCAATGTATCTATAGAGTATAGAAGTTTTTCCAACGATTGATATGTGATTCAAATTGTAATGAAAAGTTTCAGATGAAATTGATAACCGTCATTGGTCGATCGTAAGGAGATTTACTTCTCTGAGATGGTGAGTATAAGAGGATATTAGAAAAATCAACTAACAAAATAAACTTGCACATTTCTGTTTGCTTACTAAAACTGAATGAGGAGGTGATCGTTCTTAAATCAGTGCGTGCACCATAATTTCGAGACACCTGCTCAGCGAACGCACAAAGATGAATCATCGGGTTTCATGAATCAAGGTTGCCGTTCTCGCTGCCATGGCGATGCCGGGAATATTGGGATACTGGGACCACGTGACTGACACACAAATATCCAAACCGGAAATTTGCCGCGATTCTGGGTTTGCTGGGAGAGGAAAAGCGATAAACGGCAAATTCGTTTTTAGTTTTGGTGAACGCGCCAGTTTTTATGTTATGGTGGATGCGCGTTTTGAATATTTGGCGACCGCTAATAATTACCTGATATAAAACTTGATATTTATTTTGTATATCATCGATACCTGAAAAATTGTTTGTCGACGATATTCATTCTATGAAATCGCATTGCCTTATATATACAGGGTGAAACACCTTCAAATTGAGAGGTTTCCAAATTGAAATTGGATTAAAAACTTGTAAATTGGCGTTCTGTTAATTTAAAATCGATCATTTCCAATCTACCTGAGATATTTTTCAGTCTTCCAGCTATACATAGTGTGCCAAAAGTTGGCACCGATCTTCTTATTTATATGTCAACTTATCTAGTACATTTATTGTCGAGATATAGGTCTCGATTGTTCTGAAAATAATTACCGCCACATACTATCCCAGCACATCAAATTGGCTGAATCCTGATTTTATATCAGACCGATATTGATATATTATGTGAATATAGAAATGATATTGGCAAATATTATATTGAAAATACAATATTGGAATTATAATATTGGCGGAATATTGGTTCAACATGAGCTAAATGTGGATTGTCAACTATACAATATTGAAGCAATATTGGCTGGAAAGTACCTTCACAATATGTGGGGAAACATATATTCAAAATATTCAAATCTAATATATAAAATTCTCCTGTCCTGGTCACGGTGTTAGTGGTCGAACTCCTCCGAGACGGCTCGACCGATTCGTATGATTTTTTTTGTGCGTATTCCGTAGGTATGAGAATCGGTCGAAATCTATTTTTTTAATCGAAAATTCAAGATGGCGGATCTAATATGGCGGACGAGTATTTTTATCAGATTCCATTCAAAATTGGTACTTGGGGGGTTTCGGGGTAGGAGATTATGATTCTTTCGTCAAATTTTGAAAATTCAAGATGGCGGATCCAATATGTCAGACGAGTTTTGTAATTATGGTCAGATTCCATTCAAAATTGGTAACTGGGAGTTTTCGAGGTCGGAGATTATGATTCCTTCATCAAAATTAAAAAATTCAAAATGGCGGATCTAATATGACAGACCAGTTTTTAATTATGATCAGATTCTATTCAGAATTAGTATCTGGGGGTTTCCAGACTTGGAGATAATGATTCTTCCATCAAAATTTGGAAACCCTAGATGGGAGATCCAATATGGTGGGCGAGTTTTGTAATTATGATGCGATTCCATTCAAAATTTGTATCTGGAGGATTTAGGGATTGCAAATTATGATTCTTTCATCAAAATTTGGAAATTCAAGATGGCGAATCCAATATGGCGGAGGGAATTTGTAATTATGTTCCAATTCTATTCAAAATTAGTATATAGGTGTTTCCGTGGTATGATTCTTTCGTCAAAATTGAGAAATTTAAGCTGGCGGAACCGATAAAGTGAACAAGTTTTGTTATTATGATCTAAGAATTCTATTCAAGATTGGTATCTGGGATTTTCGGGGTCGGAAATTATGATTCCATCGTCAAAATTAGAAAATTGAAGATGGCGGATCCAATATGGCGGACGAATTTTGTAATTATCATACGATTCTATCCAAAATTTGTATCTGGGGGTTTTGGGGGTCGGAGATTATGATCTTTTTCTTCAAAATTGCGTAATTCAAGATGGCGGATCCAGTATGGCTAACTAGCTTCGTAATAACTATATATTAGTTTGAAAAACTATAATAAAACACGCTTCAATAGATAGCCAAACTCGAGGCCAAACTGAAAAGATGTAGAAAATTGATAGTATAGTTTGAAAAACTGAAGAAATAAATTGTCGAACTTAAAAGAAGTAGAAAAGGAATAGTAGTTTGAAAAACAAAAGGAACGCGATTTTATGGATAGTCAAACTAAAGAGAAGTAGGAAACAAAGTAATAGAAGTGTGTTGATAAATATTCAACTGAGAAAATATTTTCTAGAAATAGATGTTTATAGCAAAACAACGTTCGCCCAATAAATAGTAGTTTGAAAAACTAATGAAACACACTTTTATGGCTAGCCAAACTGAAAAAAGTAGAAAATAAAATAACAAGAGATTGTTGATGAATATTTAACAAAAAAATTATTCTCTAGAAATAGTGTTTAAGGCAAAACAACGTTTGCCGGGTCAGCTAGTATTATATAATATTCAACTACGAAATAGCCACAGTGCTCGAAGAGGAATGAAATGTTAAATAAAGACAAAAATCTCAAAGTCATTTCTACACAATGTTCATAGAACAACAGTGGTAGATTTCGGGAGAAAAACAACTACTTCCCTGGCTAATGCCACGCTGAACATTGAATCAATCACATTCTCCCCATGTCGATTCTGAAGCGGTTATGCAATATCGTATTTATCGAGTTCGAAACAAGTTGGTTGGATATTGTTTCAAACATCATATTTACATTTACCTTTATTGATTTTTTTATATCGCTTGGAGCACACGAAAGGGAATCCCTATAATGTTCAAAGAACATCGTGCGTTCCTAGGGAGGATAGGGACAGGAGGTAGGTATTGGAATTTTTTTTTAACTTTTGGAGATTATAATATGTTGTTGGTAATACTTCCACAGGCAATGAATTCCAGAGCCTAGCCGTTCTATGGATGAAGGACTCTTGATAAGGTGCTGTTCGACATCTTTCGAGGTTGGCAACGAAAGGATGTGCTGACTGGGCTTGTCTAGTTCGTCTGATTGGTATTGCTAGTGAAGGGATGATAGCAGAGATTTCCGAAGAACATTTCCCGTGGAAGTATCGATAGAAAAGTGAAAGGTCGCCGGTGTTCCAATGATGTCAAAGAGTGAGTGAGTGTGGCGTCACCCACCAGGCGAATGGCTCTTCTCTGGATGGAATCTAAGAGCATCAGCGTATGTTTTGGTGCAGAACCCCATATGTGGGAACAGTATTCTAGAACAGGCCGTATCTGCGCTTTGTAGATCATGAGAAGCTGTTGAGGAGTAAAGTAGCTTTTCGCACGGAACAAGAATCCGAGTTTTTGTGAAGCAGCTTTTGCGATGGATCTGACATGATTATACAATTAAAGAGTGTTGCTGATGGAAATACCGAGCACCAATACCAACAACCTAGTTGAATTCAACTAGGTTGTTGGTTCCCCAGGCTGTGATTTCAGCAAGATCTTCATTGGCAGCATTGACCTGCATGCGCCGTGAGTTTCAACTATATCATGCGGAAGATATCGAATGAATATTGTTTCAAAGATGCATATCTATATCGGTCATTCAATATTTTTTGATATCGGTCATAGAAGAGAAAATATTTTATTGTTTAACGAGCGCGGAGCATTCTGTGCGAGTTATACACTAATTTTTCTACGGCTGCAACAAATAACAGCGACATTTTTTATGTCTTCGTCTTGTAGCCATCTGATTTCCTCTCAGGTAATGCTCATCTATTAGACAAAGCTGTCATTGCTTGAAATTTGACATTCCATGACGATGAGATTTAAAAAAAAAATAATACAATGGAGTCATTGTGATATCAGATACGGAACTGAGATTTATGACAAACAAAGTACCTCATGGATGGATCGAGCACAGTAAAATAAGAGCAATTATAGCTGGAAATTTTACATCTAGGGAATAAAGTGGTATTTTGAATCCCTAGACAAAAGTTTCTAGATCGCTAAAGTATTTTGCGTTCTATATAGAATAAGAAATAGCCATTTCCCTAACTGACATTTTAACAAAAATGTCAACATTTGATGACAGTTTTCGAAAATATTTATTTTCACTGATCACCTCCAATGATAATTGAATGCTATAGGTCATAGGAATAGAGATATAACGTATAAACCTGGATTTTCAATCATTGTCATGACGTTTTGTTCGAGAATCGTTCAAAAATCGATCAAACTTTGTTATTGTTTTGAATGCCCATGAATTGAGAAATACATCAGAAGATGAATATATTTTAATGCTTTTCGAAAGGTCTTTCCAATGGTGAGTAAATAATATATAGGGTGATCTATTTTGAATTCATATACACTTTCTGCTGCTCCCTGTATATTCCCAGATATTCAGATCGTAACTTGTGTTTCGAAAAGGAGAAAAAATCCACTGTGAGTCTGTTTTTTATTTGTACATGTCACCTGGTACTTATAAACGAACAATGGTGCTCTGATTGGGACATCCCCTTGAACGACAGCAAATGTTGTGTGCTACATCTTGGTAACAACAATCCATCCCTCAACTACCGTTTATTCAACAATACAGTACCATCCGTGGATGAACAACGAGATCTAGGTATCACCATCAACAAAAAACTCTCCTGGTCGAGTCATGTAACAGATGTTGTACACAAAGCAAATAGTCGCATCTATCTACTGCGCAAGTGTTTCACCAATCCTAATCCCCAACTATTTGGTCAACTATACAAGTCGTATATACGTCCTCTACTAGAGTATGGTGTTCAAATATGGTCCCCACACCTAGTGAAAGACATCCAACTTTTAGAGAGAACTAAACGTCTTGCCACCCGAATGGTACCCTCACTCAGGCACTTATCTTACGAAGATAGATTAACCCGATTGAAGATTCCATTTCTCAAAGAAAGACGAGCCAGAGGAGATGCTATTCTGACATACCGCATACTGCACGATACATTCTCCATTGACATGCAGCATATTTTTGAGCTGAACACTGACCCCAGGCTGAGAGGCCATAGCATGAAGCTCAAACGCGAAAACTTCAAGTCCACCGTTAGGCAAAACTTTTTCGCCAACAGAGTATTCGGGCTATGGAATTCACTCCCAGAGGCCGTTGTGACAGCTCCAAGCATAAACAGTTTCAAAAATGGTTTCGACGCGTTCCAGTGTTCCAGCTTCTGACTGTACCAACTGTGCTGATGTTCCTCATTGTCTATATTAACAATTTCGATTATTATGTTCATACGATACCACTCACTTGTATTGTTAGGTTAATTTTGTATACTCATGGGCATAATAGGCTTTGCCTCTGCCCTTATTGTCAGTTAATAATAATAATAAATAATAATACTTCCAATTCATGTTTCCAAAGCCCCCTTGACCTGCACTGGCAACACCCATGTTTGAAACA